TTATTTTCTTTTAAAAAACAAAACCTATACACTTTTCGATATCCGTTTGTCGCGCAAGACTCGAGATGAAATATGTGTATAAACGATCACGATATATTCGTCACGTAAAATCGGACATTTTTCTTCCGATCTCCGACGATTTCGCGAGCCGAATAGAAAGGAGTAACGCGGAATAGCTCTGGAAAATAATAAAAAAAAAAATAAAAAGAAAGTAAATAAAATAGAAAGACAGAGAACACACGAAATAGAATCGCGGATGTAGGAAGTAATAATTAATATACACCGGCTATGTCGGCCGACAATCGTTTGGAAGACAACAACAAAAAGAAAAATGAAAAAGAGAAACTCAAGTCTGGGTCTCTCTGTTTGTGAGCGTTCTTGATGAAGACGCATTCATAGCGCATCTTTCGCGGGAGTTTCAAACGATAAAGGAAGTTTCCCCGGAATTTGTCGGACGGACGAAAGCAATGCTCGTCGTATGGATTGCTTTATATCTTTCTCCCTCCCACACGCAACACACATATGCATGTATACATATATACCTTCTGTCTATCTTCAATGCAGGACGAAGAGAAACGATCGTGGTCGTCTCACCCTTTCGTGCGCGTTACATTGTTTCAGTGATACACGCGGGAAAAGAGAAGAAGGACCTTCGCGTTTGTATTATTTTTTATCCACCACCACCACCTCATCCTCTAACTTTTCCACAAAGCTTTTTCTTTTTCTTTTTCTTTTTTTTTTCCCCTCTTTCTCTCGTACACTCTGCGAACGCCTTGTTTTCCTCCTACCGACGACGTGTTTGTCGTTCCACGAGAGAAAGAGAGAAAGAGAGCACAGACGCGTTATTGTGTTATGGAATATGACAGCTTCCAGCATCTATCTATCTATATCTCTCTTTCTTTCTTTCTTTCTTTCTTTCTTTCTCGACTAAAGCCGTTGACGCATCTCCTATTCGTGCAAACGTCATTATTTTTTGCAATTTGCTAAGCAGATGCCCCTTATTGTACTCGCCATTGCCGCCAGGAAGAATCCGTTTCGTTTCCCTTCGTTTCTCTGTATCATTCACCCACCCTACGACCCATTTCGACCCTTGTGTCTCTTACTTGTTTACTCTTTTTGTATTTTTTTTCCTTTTCCCTTTACTTCGTGGTACATATATATATACGTCTAACGCAATCTTGGATATTATTCACGCAATGAGAAATACGGACTCGCTCGTAAAATGAGTACTGGAAAAACATCGGCAACCTGCTTGGATTTTAACCGACTTCCCAACACACATTGTTGTACTCTCCGTTCTTTTTGTTCTTGTCTTTTTTTTGTGTTATTCTTTCTCCACCTTTTCCTCGTGTTGTCGTGTTATTCTCATACACGATGATGGTTCCTCTGCATTTAGACTGCAAAATAATAATTCCACCTAACGACGTCGTAACATTGTCTCCTACTTGTCCCTTACCGTCATCATCCTTTTCTATCTTCCACACTTTTTGTTTTCTTATCTTTGGTAAGCCTTCAGAAAGCCTTCAATGGAGATGATTTCTTTTATTTTCTTCTTTTTCTTTTATTTTGAAAATTGTTTTTGTAGAACAATTCGAAAGAGTTAGACTTATTCGAGTTGAATCAAAACAAGTCGTTTATATTGATAATAAAATGATAATATTTCGTTTAATCGATAAAGCTATTACTCGAGGATTTCGTTAAAGTTAACAAGCCGCATAATGAATTTCATCAGATTACAATTTAATCGACGTTGAGAGCTTACTCATCGTCGTTGATATTTCCTTTCAAGAGATGCTCTCTTTATCGGTAGGAACGATCTCTTCTATAAAGAAAATATGATTAGCGTTAATTGCTTTTTCGCAAGGAACTACTTAACGTTGATAAATGCAATTAACTTCGTGACTATACTCGTTCGATCGAATTTCTTTTTTTTTGTTTTTTCTTTTTTTTTTTATATCCGCATGAAACAATTTTTATTCTACTTATATATGTATTTCTTTTTCATCTTCTTTCAATATGACTCGGAGTGAAATTATTTATATAATTTTTGCAACCTGCATCATTTCCGAGACTTTAACCACAGACTTTTCATTTCCTTCTTCTTCTTCTTCTTCTTCTTCTTGCTGTTTTATCTTCGTTGCTCTCGCAACAGGTACAAATCGTATATAAGAAAGATTACGTTAAAACTTGCACGAGGTAGGTACTTGCATTTCTTCCAGCAGGTTGAAGAAGCCAACGTAATCCGGCGAATTTCGAAGAATGGATCCCACGAGAGGGGCACAAGTATCCGTCACGGTGCTTGCCTTTAGAAGGAGTAGTCGTTGCATTTTCTCCTCTTTCGTCCTTTTTCGGGGGACTTGTCGACATCTCCTTTTAATCCTCAACCTTACCTTTTCGTTATGTAAACTCTTAAGAAGAGAATATACGAATATATTTTTATATATGTGTGCACATACGTATACGCGTACGTACTTGTGTATATATATATATATACATGAACGAGTTAACGAGCATTCGTCTAACGTAAATTAAAAAGTGCGTGTTACGCGAATGTATGGTGTGGATAAGTGTTTCGCTGGTTTTTTTCCCTGTTTTTTTTTTTTTTTTATTTTTTTTTAATTTTAAATTCCTTTCCTCAAACTCGGTCCTCTTCCGTGAGATCTTTCGAGTCTCCTCGATTCGAATCGCTCGAAAAGTTTTCTGTGAATTTAAAGGGCCTACCCTCTCCTCGCATCTTCTTGACTTCTTGCTCGTGCTGAAACCTTTTTAAAGGACGCTGAATTTTCATCGACTAATAAAAAAAAAAGGAAGTCAAAATTTGTACATGTATAAGAAACTATCGAAACATACCAATATACTTATAAGTGGGTTGCAAAGGAACCTAATCCTTTAAGAGCAAAACATTTCTCGGATCGCTTATCCAACTTCTATTTCTTTTTTTTTTTTTTTTTTCTCCCGAGGAAAAGAATTTTATTGGAACTTCTTTTTTTTTTTTTTTTCTTTTTCTTTAGTAAAGTTAGGAATAAAAACTCGGAAATGCCTGAGGGACACGAGGAGTCAAAAGGATGCGAAATCGATCATAATACGATCGCATGGTTTCACCTTTCCCCATCCTCTCTTTCCTTTTTTCCTCCTATCTCACACCATTGAATATCCTTCGCTAATTTCGAATGCGAATTTACGTAGAGGTAGACGAGTAATATGATGTAGCCTCGTTGAAGGGAAAAGAGTAAAAAAAGTAAGAGAAAGAGAAAGAGAAAGAGAGAGGGATGAAGGGAGGGGAAGGGGGAAAGAGAAACACCGAATATCCCATAGGACCGAATCATTCGGTTCAGAGTTCTGAAGCTTTCGCGTACTCGACAGCGTGAGGGAAAATCGAGAAAGAGCGGCGGAGAAGTTGTTCGTTGGTGGTTGTTAGAGAAGGTGGAGAAGGGTGGGTGGGTATAGGTGGGGGTTAAATCGAGGGAGGAGCGACTTTGGTGGCTGAGTCTTCTGAAAGTACTCATTCAAACGGTTCACGGCAGTCTGACATACGGCAAATCATTAATTGAAATTCCGTTAGGCGAACGCGGTTCGTTCATTGCTTCCGTCCTATGTGTGTGCGTGTGTGTGTGTGTGTGTGTGTGTGGAATGTGCACGTGCATATGCGTAAGCGTGTTGAACACCGACTTTTATGCTACTTTTACTTATCAGAGAGCAGACTAGATGATATTCCGTGTCGTTCTCTTATTAAAGTAAATCAGAAAGAAGAGAGTGAGGGAGAGAAAGAGAAAGAGAAAGAGAGAGAGAGAGAGAGAGAGAGAGGGATAAAGAGGGAGTGTGAGGAGGTGGAAGAGGAAGTGGTGGTAGAAGGGTGATGGCACGGGAGCTCGTGTTTAATTACGCGACTATACGCGCACGCATCGCGCTTCATTTGATGTCTGTGCCTTTTTATCGGTGGGAAGAATGACTATTCCACCCTATTAAAGTCAGCGGGGAATAAATCATTCGTGACGGCAAAGTAACGGAGATACGATCGTTTCGTTTTTCATTGACTTTCAATAGAGAATCTCTCTCTCTCTCTCTGTCTTTTTCTTTTTTAATGCCGACGTAATGTATCTCTTTCTCTATCTCTGTCTGTCTCTCTGTCTGTCTGTCTCTCTCTTTCTCGATATAGTAATAATAACAATAATAACAATCAATGAAAGTAATAACGATAATGACGATAACAACAACAACAACAACAACAGTAGCAGTAACAGTAGGGAAAAAGGGAATAAGAATAAGAAGAAGATGAAGAAATAGAAGAAGAAAAATAAGTCGAACGGTGACGGCAATAAAAGTAATAACGGTAAAAATAATGAGAGCAAATAAAACATAGGCTAACGATCAAGGTCGGTCTAATGAGAAGTAGCAGCAGACAAGGGCGAAAGGTGGTGAGAGGAGAGAGTAGTGGGGATGGAAACGAACGAGATAGAAAGATTTCAGCGAAGCAGAAGCTTCGACGTTTCCCAGTCTGGTGGTATTCATCCTCCTATCTTCTGCTACATTTTCTCTCTTCTTTTCTCTTTCTCTTTTTCTTTCTCTTTCTCTTTCTCTTTCTCGTTACGCTTGTACTTTTCGAGGTAGAGCCGCCTAGCGCACGCGACGTCCGGAATATAGTTTCTTTCGAAGTTTATTGTCGTTCTCCCTGTGATGTCGGCCTGGCCTTTTGAGTGACGGGGAAAATGGCACTTTTATGTCTCTCTGGTACCACCACCAGCACCACTACTATTGCTGGCTTCTGTTACTGTTACTGGTGATGCTGCTGTCGCTGTTACTGTCACTAGAGCCACCACCGCCGCCGCCGACTCTGTTACTGCTAATGCGTCTCGTAATAATTTCGTTTTTTCACTGGTAATGCGCGACTACCAAGCTGGTAGTAGCTACTGTTCGATATATATCGTAACGTATAAGGAATAATGATCTATACTTTAAAATGAATGTTTAATTTTCTTTTTTTTTTTGTATTCTGTTCACAGAGAAGATAGAAGAAACATGTCGGAAGTTAAGACGGAAAGGCCTCGGACTGCTGGTCGAATAGCACCGACTGGTCGGGTCACTCCAAGCGTTCATCAATCGGCTGGTGGTGGAAGACGAAAGGCTATACCTGTACCACCTCCTAGAGTTCCAACTCCTATGCCTTCGGCCAATAACAATCAGCAAAGGTTAGTTTACTGTTTGAATTATTGGAATAATTTCATAGTTGCATCTTTTGTTAGCAATTAATCGAATTGTAGAAGTGAACTTTGAATATTTGACTTTTACCTATGTTTGATTAACTCGAATAGTAGGTTTGAATATTTTCAGGTAATAATGAAAATTATATAAGTTATATTCGGGAAGTGAATTTAAATGCACGAATTGTTGAAATATTTTACAGTCGAAAAGTATTGTATAAATAATTTGATTTATTTCTTTTTCTACAAGTTATTGATAGTATTTCGTTTAATACACGATACATTTTTATGAACTTTCGATGTTCATTCAATGTTTCGACTATTTTTCATGAATTTTATGAACGAGAACGATCGGAAAGATCGTCGAAATGTATCAAAATCCAATTCACTTGAATTCGAAGTTTCCTCTTACAAAGATCTAATCTCGTAAATATACTTTGAAGTTTCTCGATTCGAAAAGGGATGTTCACGCGTATACGCGGCATACCACACAACTTATAGTCGAAAGTACGCCTCCCTCTCTCTCGTGGTGGTTGCTCGTGGTGAACGATCTAAATGCACGGGGAATCGAACTTTTAATGTGACTTTCGAGTTGTATCGCTTGTACAAAGATAGACGCCATTAAATACGTTGGGTTAGAGGTGTTTCCTACCGACTGATTGAACTTTGTCGAGTTAGCGAACGGTCACCATACTCGTTGGGATAGGGTTTCTCTCGATTAATCTGCCAAGGGTTTCCTCGTACTTAAGCTTTGCTATAAGTTTTGCCATAGTCAAAATTAATTCGTATAATAACGAATTTTGCATCGTACACGCGTGACCTTTATGTAAGACTAGCATAATTACATTATAATGCAGATATTTATATCAATTTTTATTTTTATTTAATTTTATTATATTTCACATTTCTTTTGTGTGTAAATTACATAAATCGTCTCGTGCAAATATGTGACTATATCATTTTAATGTTATACATATAGTATATCGGTTGAATCACGAAATGAAGAAGTATATTTTCTTTTATACTTGTCGCGACTTTATCTTAAAACATTACTTAAACATTGCTTAACATATTTCAATGTGTTTTATTTTATAATATTATTTTTCTAACAAACGAAAACAAAACGATATTTTTATCTTAGCTTTTTGAATATTTGTATTAATAACCATTAACAATTTGTAGAAGCAATTATGGTGTGAGTTTCTTAACTTAGCATTAAGTATTCTTTGAACTTACCGGTGAAATATATACCGGTGAAAGAAAAAATTTGTGATCGATCTAAAACAATCTAATGTAAGCCGATCACGTTTCGTGGTTCACTCGGTCAAACATATAGTATAAAGACAAAGAAGATTGAATGACGTAAGAATATGGAGGAATTATCGAAGGTTTGAGCCTTTAAGAGCATAAACCTCACAGGCCAATGCGTGGACGATGAGATCACTGAAGTGGCCGGTGGTTTCGAGTTTCGTGAACTTTAATCAGCCGGACCGAACTCAAGCCGTATTCCCTTAATACCATTTATTTAATAGCGCATAGCCCTTGCTACGGAAGTCGATACAACTAGTCTAGAAGCTAGCATGAAATTCCCCCTAAAATTAAGGACAATCTTGTGAGCCTTATTGTTACCAAGGTATTTACGATTTTGTTGATATTTAAATGTATTGAAGGAAGTTCAGGAAAAGAAAACAATTCAATCTATTCTGTTCCAATTTCTTTAGCCTTTAAATCCTTCGAAAACTCATTTAGGAATGTTTTTCCAAAATGATTTTCTTTCTAAAACAAGAAATTTAGTTCTTGAGTAGAGCTTACAAAAAACTGTTCTCGGAATACAAAGCTTTATTCTATGCTCCGCTTTTTAATTTCTTTCATTTTCTTTTCTTTTTTATATACGAGCATTTTCAAAAGTAATATATATATATATAATATATATGTATATATGTGTATAGATATTTTATTAATTCGTCATGTGTATATTTCAAAAGACGAATAATTATGAAATGGTACTTATAATCGTCTTTCGATATTCATTATTTTAACCGAACTTACTCATTCGTTAAAACATAAATAAACGAGAAGATGTAGTCTCGAATTTGACGAGAAATAATTTTAAGTTTTATAACTTGTATGTGTAAACACTGAAAAACATTTCTGTGAAAAATTCATCATTCTGAAAAAAAGGTTTAACATCAAACGCACCGAGATTCAATGAACGCAGCTCGTGGATTTAGACGATGCACATATATATATATATATTTGTGTGTGTGTGTGTGTGTATCTATATATATAATGTATATACCAATGTATCATTTAAACTGGAATATTTTCTTTTTCTTTATTTTATCTTTCTCTCCTTTCTCTCTTCGCTTTTCGCATCCATTTTACAAACGCGATTCGTCGTAGTCGGTTATCCGGATAAAAGCCGCACTAATTACGGATTCTCATCGAGCTATGCTTTGAATTCTTTCTTCGAGACTTCTTCTTTAAAGTCGTCGCGAATCGTGTTGATGAACGGTGAAGTATATCGCGTACAGGTGAGGCGTAAGAAGAAAAAAAAGAATGGAATTCTTTACAAGGGAATAACTTTTAGTAAAAAAAAAAGAAAAAAAACAAAAATTCAAAATAAAAAACAATATTTAAAAATCCGATACTCCTCCAATTGAAGCATAAAATTGTCTCTCGTTTGTTCTATCTTAAATCATTAGCAATTTTTCTATAAAGTTGTGTTTTTGTGAAACAATTATCAAATTAGTTGTTTCTTATGTGGATCAATATTTAATAGTATGTTCGTGGTCAATATTAATTCGAGAGAATGAAATAAATGTAAGACGATATGATGAAAAGCTAATACCTACTCGTATGTATGAGCAAAAGATAGATAGATAAGAGAGAGAGAGAGATAGAAGTATACATTTATCCTCGAAAAGTGTTTTCAGTCGTAACACTAGTAAGTTTTAAGCAGCTTAACCCTTTGCGGAAAATATAATTCGAAACAGAACGTTGTAGTATTTGTCAAGAATACAAATATATATATAATATATATGAAATCAATTGCAAACATTTGTAATATTTGCTAGTAAATATAAAGATTTATGTAACTATATAGATAAACATGCTGGTAACGTCGATTATTTTTGTCGAATTTCTATCAACGTTTACCGCTACGTTGATGGTAAGCGCACATATGAGTTCATCGTCCGCAAAGGATTAAAGGGATTTTAGCTGGTTTTCGTTATATGTGTGTGTGTGTATACCATGAATATTAATACTTACTCGAGAATGTATATAGTATTGTTAATTAGAGATTCAAGCACATTTAATGCGATTCATTTTCTATTATTCTCGTTACAAAAAAAAAAAAAAAAAAAAAAAGAATTATATTTAAAATAAAAATAATAAAGTAAAAATTGGACAATAGCGAACAAATTCGATATAACTTTATAATGATCTGCGTAATAAATTACATTTGAATACGTATAGATTTCATTCGTATACATTACTTCGTCGAATTTTTACAAAGACGTGTAAACGTCAGAAGATCAAACGGATTAGAATGATATGCCGTATTAGTAATCAATAATGTAATGAATCGTTAAGATAAACGTCGACTATCTAAGCATCATATCTGTGTTTGTATTCCAATACAGTTATATACGTGAACACGCGTTTCTATGTGTTCGCGAATATGTCTGTACGCGTTGCGAGAGTAACAGAGGCAAAGGTTCGTTAGGTTCACGGCACGGACCAAAATTCTGTTAACCACAATTCAAATAGGCTTGTGTTTGCCGCTTTATATCAAACAAGGAGAAGTACTATATCAAAGACCTACTACCCGTATGGGTTCATTAGACAGTATTTAGCATCATTATACTGACATGTGCGTTAACTCTCGTTGCTATTATATGTCTCTGTTAAAAAGCTGGGAAGTATTATACAGACTGTATCCATACATTTGTATTGTATCATAAAACAATGAGATGTTATATTAAAACGAGAAGCTTAATTATTGTTCTTGCTAAACGCGCGTACGGGAAAACGTTGAAAGTGTGCGTGTCTACATTTGCGAAGTACAAAAACGTAAAAAGAGAGATTAGAAAAATATTTTGATCGTAAATAATGAGAGAGAAAGAGAGAGAATAGCTTAATGCTAAGGGTCCATTTATATTGTTATTTTATTTATTTTTTTATTATTTTGTTTGTTTGTTTGTTTTTGGTTTTACTGCAGAATGCATTAATCTTTCATATATTTTTGAATAATTTATTTCATAGAACAAGGAATAACCGCTATTAATAGGAAAGCTGGATCGTTGGTCTTTCACAGGGGAGCCAAATAATTCGGCAGGGTGAATGAGAGAGAAATAGAGAAAGAGAAAAAGAGAAAGAGAGAGAAAGAGAAAAAGAGAAGAAAGGAAGGAAGGGGTTGAAAATTTCTGCTTCAAAGAGATCTGCAGATCGTCGTTGCTAACGAAGGCTGCTGTCATTGCACCAGAACACGCGTCAATTAACTCTTTTTTCCCTTGTTCATTCGTTTTTTTTCTCTCTCTCTCTCTCTCTCTCTCCTTTTTGTTTCCTCTCTTTTGTTTCATCAAAGAGATCAAACTTCGATTATGTACCTCACGCAGAAAAGTAAAAGAGGTCAAAGATGATCAAGATCTATGACGACGACGAGAACGACGACGACGATAATATTTTACAAATATATTAAATGATTAAGTGTCGTGCAAATTAAAAAATATTAACCGAATCAGAGGACCGAAAAAAAGTGGCTTTTTCAAAACTTTCCTTTTTTTTTTTTTTTTTTTCTGGAATGCTAATTAATTGGCTTAGCGAGAGAAAAATTTATTACATGATACTCTTTCTCTCTCTCTCTCTCTCTCTTTTTTTTTGTTTCGTTTTTTTTTTCAGCGCGTAGAAATTAATTTCATTTAAATTAAGAAGTTCATTAAGAGTGTATTTAATTAATCGTGCGACGAACAGGCTACGTTCATGGTAAACCTTTGAACGAAACTCCATCCAAAATGGGCTTTTGTGGTCGAGTTTTACATGTTCCTCTTTCGTGAATAGGATCAAAAGGTTTTTTGGTATCTATTGGAAAGGATTGTATTTGGGTACTTTTTTTACTTTTTTTTTTTTACGAGAAATACGATAATATAAATGACTCCTAACAAATACGTCAAGAAAATACTACTACTACTGATTTCATTTTTCGATTACGATCTAAATGGTTTTAAACGAAATAGATTGAAAACTGCTATTTATTTTTTGAAAATATTTGGTGAAGTCAAGTGGAACTATTATATAATAACTCTATATTATCAGCTTCATAAAATAAATTAAATTACTGCCTGTAAAAAATTATTAAAAATTGATGATAAAGGTTAAAAGAAGTAGAACTAGAACCTCTTTTCATGTCCAAGTTCCCTATGAACCTTTATCATCAAGAATTATAATTTTGGACGAGAGAAAATACTGAATTATTAAAAATATTCATTTTTTCATGCCTCTGACTACACCTAACCCCCTTAATATGAAGTCAGATCTTCAAGGTTCGATGATACTTTTTGTGTACTTTTTCTTGCTTCTTCATTCATTATTTTTATTTTTCTTGTTTTTTTTTTTATCAATGAATAGGATTGGAAAAAAGATTTTTGTATCGATGTAAAGCACTCGTCATCGTTGATACACCTGTTTACCAACGAACTAAATAACATTTCTATTTTGTTAGTTCTTGTTCGAATATCTTGGAGAGCCTCGAGGACACGTTCGTAGATAAAGGGTTGGGGGGAATGCGAGGACGATCATGCGACTCTCGAACCCGTACCTGACAATTTAATGAGCCGGATTTCACGGGATCGGCGTTGAATGGAAAGGGGACTCGGCAATGTTGTATGAGAGTTCAGTGGCGTATGAGCCAATCGTCGAAGAACGATGAGTACCGTGGAGAGAATGGAACGGGGTGTGAAGGCAAAAGGGCGGAAGACAGAAAGAGTGAGAGAGTGAGGGAGTAAGAGGGAGCGAATGAGAGAGAGAGAGAGAGAGAGAGAGAGAAAGCGAGAATGCATACAGGAAAATCCAGGGGTCAAAAGCCCGCGGAAATTTTCGACAAAAGCCGCATGCATTGTACTCGCCAACTGCGAAAAGCTCGTAACGAGGGTTCTACTATTGCTCATGTGTTGTGCTTACTACGAGCACCAGAGCATTACTCTCTTTCTATCTTTTTTAACATTATGCCCATCCAAATCCGACCATTGCATCTTTCTTTCTTTCTTTCTCTCTCTTTCTTTCTTTTTCCTATTATTGCATCGCGTTTACGCACCTGCCATAAATCTTTGAAGTTTACTACCAACTATACACCACTGTCCACACAGTGACGAAAAAGCAACGTTGTTTTTTCGATTCATACTTTTTCAAATTTTTACAATTATCGCGAACGTATCATCACTTTTTCTTCGATATAATTTTATAATTTTTTAGAGGATTATATTATGGTTCAGAGAAGTTAATTTTTGTTTTATAATTTTTTAGATCGGGTGAATTGTATTGGAAATTTTTTTATCCGAACTATATTCTCGAAAGAATTTTTCTATCAATGAAATATTTAATCTTTCGGAGAGAAATAACAATTGTGAAAATTTGTTATTTAATTTTTTTAATCTCGATATCACTTATTTGTGCAAGAATATGTGACAATAGAATTGATAAAATTACATAACTTCGAATCGTATGTATGCGTTATCAATTATAGTGTATATGAGAAAGAATGAGGAAATTAAAAAACAAGAAAGAGAATAATAAAAAAGAGAAACATTTCAACAGGCAACGGGAGTATATTAATTCATTCGAAAACAATACGTCGTTATTCCTGGTGGAAATATCGATTAGTCAATGCATGTGTAAATTTCCTTTTTCTTTCTTTTTTTGTTTTTTTGTTCATAGTTACATTCGTCCAAGAGATTTTTACGCCTACCTGCGAATGTTTGACAGGTGATGCGCGGATTTCTACCCTCGTTACGACCCTTCGATCGTTTCGAACGACTACAACGAACAAAATCGAGCTCTCACACCTTTCTCTCTTTTTTTTTTATTCTTTTATCTTTTCTATTTTTCTTTTTTTTTTTTTTTTTATTTTCACTACGATCCTTCCTCTTTATATCCTGCTTCCGGAAGCTTTAGAAAGCTGTGAACGCGTGAAAATCGAGCTCGTTGCGTCAATTGCTACAATCTCCTGGTTTTATTGATTGTCGAACCGTATACGTCATAATGAATGAGAGTTGGTTAAGTTGGTTAAAGTGTCTACTGATTAAGAAAGACTGGGGCGCTTGTTCATCGATACTTCAGAAATCATTCAATGTACTTATGCATGTACCAATAATAGGAGGGAGATTTATTTACAGTTTCTCGCCTTCTATATCTTCTTTCTTTTATTTTAATTTAGTTTCCCGTATATATTTTCTCGAGATTGTGTTTGATTCTTCGAGCTAACACATTGAATTCTATGTCGATTTGATGTAAATCAATACGTATAAGCTTTTATATATATTTCTTTTTTATAATTACTTTCAATACAAAGAAATAGAAAACTCATCGTTATGTACGTTATCATTAAAAATTGTTATATAAATTAATCAAATTTATATTGAGTTTCTAAATAAAGTGAATACAAAATGTGATATTATATATCAATTATAAATGACCGATATGTAACTGATATTTATTTAAAATGTTTACTTTTTATTTTGGTTACGTTTAATTAGTACGTTAATTACAAAGTTTGTTATAAGATTGATATTACGAGCGCGAGAATTATTATATATAAAAATATAAAAATAAATTATTTTATAATTTGAATGTGTTTTAAAATAATATTATTATTATTTCGTTTAATTTTTCAATCCTTACAAAGTTTATTTCAATTACATGTTCAAAGAAAACTGATTAAAATAATATTACTCTGTTATTACCTAAATAAATATAAGTATCGGTATATTATTTGGAATTGCAATCTCTATATATATCGTGAATCAGCGTGGAAATTGTAAAAAATAGAAAAAAAGAAAATAAAAATAAAATATAAATACGATCAAAGCTTACAGACCTGCGGATAACGTTTAGTTTACCAATGGCCCGCGAGAATTTATTGATTTTGCATTTCGTATAAACATTAATATTTGATTGGAATAAACAGCTGTTAGAGTCGTCAAAGAGTTAATTGCGTTTTGAATTACGATCAGAGGTTGTTGGATTTGTCACAGAGATATATATTATTACCTTATTTTATTCTAACGATTGATACATCCTCTTCGTGTCTGCTGTAAGCAATGATTTATAGATCCCTGTTTTATCGACTCTTTATACCTGGTGATCATTTTGGAACGTCCCGCCTATCTCGATCTGGCGGTGAATCATGGAAACATTGGCGTCGCGACGTCGATGTTTCCTTTCGTCTCCGTCGGTCGGCGCCACGACGCAGATCTTTCATACTTTTTCATAAGCATCACGTTGATATCATTTTTTTTTTCAATCTTATTTCTTTCGCATCTATACCGGTACATATAATAATTTCTATAAATAAAATCCATTTCTTTTTTTTTTTGAAAAATTATATTTTCGATAACACGTTCGTTAATTCTCAACATATTTACATTTCCTATATGATAGATATCCTATGATATATAAATAATCCAATATCATTTCTGCTAATTATGAAAATTAATTAAGTACCAGGATATATCAAAAGCAGAGTTCGAACGTTTAAACCGCGTTTATTTTCCTTGATTACATACCAAACACACGCGATTATTTTACGGCACATTTCTCTCTCTCTTTTTTTTCTTTTTCTCTCTCGTTAAAATAACTTGGTTGATTTGCGCGGGTAATAATTACGCGCAAATCTTGCTTTTAAACATTGTAAAGGAGTCATTTGCATAGATTACAACTATTTTTAATCTAGATCGCGAAGAAGGGAACAAGTTTTATCGATCATTAAAGAGTACATTGTATCATTTATTCTTTTCTATGGGATTGTTTGTTGAATTTCTAATTTAGATTTTTAAAATTGTTTACTAGACACCCGAAATATATTTTTATTATTCTTTTCTATTCTCACCCGCGTCCACACCTTTTAATATTTCTTTTTATTCACTTCCCTTTATTCTTTATTTTTTTTTTTTTTTTTTATTCTTTCGTTCCTTTCACTCTGACGATTATTATTATATTGCGGTCGTTAAACGCGAAATCATGCAGCGATTATTGGCAGGACGAATACTTTATCGGACCTTCAAGGTCGTTAGCTTAATGGAAACGACGTTAAGCGTCAAACGATCGGCGGTATAGTGCACTTTCCTAGCTCCGTCATCCTGAGAAAAGTACGGTGAAGATCAGAGAAAGAGAGTAAATATAGGAACGAATAGAAATGAGAGAAATAGAGAAAGATGGAAAGAAATAGGGGAGTGTGCGGCTTCAATAGTGCGTGAACGTTCTTAATGGAGCCATTTGAGTATTATAATAGCTGATCGTAGCAACGATTGGCAGAGTGTGTTGGTCTCGTATCTTTTCAATGCTTCCCTAATCCTTTCGTGAGATTAGAAACCGGTATATGTTAATCGTTCTTAATGTAATAAACCTTTGGATAAGTTGGAACATGAAAAAATATAGTCTTAGATCTTTGAATTGAAAATTAAAGATGAGACTCGTAGATGCGTTAATATCGAAATAGAAAGAATTAGAAATCTTTCTCGTTTAAATATTATATGTATAAGTTATATGTATGCACATGCATGCAAGATTTCGATGATCTCGAGTTTGTATGAAAATAGTTTCGTTTGATTTTATTTTACTATCGAATGTTTATGAGGTCGATTACTAGATAAATGAAGAGGCCCTTTTAGGTTTCTATGTTATATTAGACTTAATGATGTTATAAAAGAAAGATTAAAGTTTTATTTTAGTGTTCATTCCACCGGTAGCTATAATAGATTTTACGATCGGTCTTTAACCATGATTTTCGACAAGATTTCCCCATTGAACTCGTAAATTAACATGTCTTGTATCTTCATTAATTGAAATTGTTGTATTGATAATACAGTAATCTATGTGATTATTAAATAGTTGGTATTATATATCCTATAAGTATGTATTCTTTTATATTGTACCTTATAACGGGTAAAGAAATATATTTAATCTGTATCTTCAAATAATTTTGAACATCAAAAATGTAATAAAATTATAAGATAATATTAAAATGGTATGTTATGTTATAAATTAGGCCGTTATAATACGTTATATTATATCGTGGTATATAATATAAATATTTTATTAATATCTACAATATTTTTTTCACTTGTTGCTTATTATTTTGTTTAAATGAAAATTAAAATTGTAATCGATCAACCGAAATACATTTAGCGTTCACGCGTAAAACTTATTAGTAACTTTCCAGCCGTCACCTTCGTTAATGCTATGCCAAGTATAATTATTTATAATTTATTTTATGTCCATGCTTTTAACGATGTTAATTGCACGGTCTGTGTTAGAGAAAGAGAGAGAGAAAAAAAGGGTAAGAGAGAAAGATAAGGAGAGAGTGAGTTCTCCGTCGCAATGTAATCACCCCTCGAGTCTACACCCAACCCGAAGATTTTCGCGTTGCTTCGGAAACCTCCATCTCGTCCCTTCTTGACACAACCACTTCGTTTCATTTGAAAATACGACAATGGTTACCCTCGTCTCTTACCGATCGCAACCATTTTTTTTTATCGTAACATTTTTCTTCGCTTGTTTTTTTACTCGAACCGAGATAGGTACGTCAATAAAAACAAATTAATAATTATTCATTCATTTTCTTTTTCATATAAATATCCAGTTTTTTTCTCTCTCTCTCTCTGAATTTATATAGCGATTCCTAACTTCGATAAAAAAAAAATAGGCTCTGTATTTAACTTTGACCTTTTTTTCAGTCATCAATTTTTAAAATATCGGAACCAATATGCGGGCTCGGTTGATATAGCAAAACAGACGTACTCCCAACTTAACTTGTTAAGATTTTTGAATACAAAGTTGGACAAGTAGATTTGGATTAGCCCCATAGGTGTTCACACTAATCGACAGAAAGAGAGAGAGAGAGAGAGAATCTACGATTGGAAGTTAGTTAATGAGAACGGTTAATCGAAGTGAGTAGATATAATATATAGGTAAGGGTCTCTCGAA